AATGAACATGTAGCAGTCCCATTAATTCATTGTTCACTGTGATCTTGCCCATCAGGTGAAAACCTGGGAGTCTTCCTTGGCTCTGCCCAGTCCGTTAGCAAATAGTGAGGGCTCTCAACCCTCAAGAGATAGCCTAATCCAATCATTTCTCCCCGCCCTGCTTCACTGCCCCAGATAATGTCATCTTCCATCTTCCCCATGAGGTGGCCTCCTCACTGGGCTCCCTGCTTCTCCCCTTGCCCTTCACAGTCCATTCTTTGTGCAGCAGGCAGAGGGATCCTATGAGTCAGACCCTGCTCCTCCTCTACTCAGAGATACCCCAGTCCTCAAGGCCCCTGCCCCCACCTCCTGCTCACTGGCCTCCTTACTATCACCCAGTCACCCTTCTATGGGCTTTCAGTTTGCTGTTCCCTCGAACTGGAATGCTTTCCCCTCCATATCTCCTCATGGTTCAATTCCTCATTCCATTCTGGTCTTTGCTCCAGTGTCAGCTTATCAGAGCCTTCTTTCCCGAGCCCCTTCCTGGAAACCACCTCTTACCTCCCCAGGCAGGGCCAGGTGTCCCCTCTGGGCTCATGAGGCCCCGGGGCTCCTTCATTCCAGCCCTGCCTACATTTGGTGTCACTGTCTGGAGCCCTGGTGTGTGTCATCCACTGGATGGTAGGGCCAGGCTCTCTGGCTGCCAGCTGGGTCTCCAGCACCACCCAGCGTGGGTCAGGCGCAGAGCAGGCACTTGGATAACAGGGGGAGTGAATCCTTCCACAAATATTTACTCCATGACCCCTGGTTGCCAGCCCTTGTGATGTAATCAGACATGTCCCTTCTCCCAAAGGCTTACGTTCTGTGGCAGAACAGATGGCACATAGGCAGACAAGTAAATGCATACTGTCAGGAAGTGATAGTGCTGTGAAAAAAAAAAAGATACTGCAAGGTGAAAGGGCTATTATTTTCCTCCCTGTAAGAAGGAATGTTTGAGCAGTGACCTGAGTGAAGTAAGGGAGGAAGGCAAGCCATGTATCTGGAAATATATATGTCTCATGTATGGAAGAAGGTTCCAAGCAGTAAGAATAGCACATGCAAAGGCCCAGGGGCAGGAATGTGCTTGGCATTTTCAAGGACTGACAACAGTGACCACAGGTTAGAAGGGAAGGAGATGAGATCAGAGAGGTGATAGGGCCTTGGAGTGAGGACTTTTGCTTTTGGCCAGGTGGAGTGGGAACCATGGGAGGGCTCTGAGCAGAGGAGGTGTGAGATCAGACTTAGAGCTGAAGTTGAGAAATGCTGATTCATTTCTCTGCAGGATCCTTTCTTGCAAGTAGCTGACAGTTGAGCTGCCGAGCCAGGAAGAGCCTCCCAAGAGAAAGGACAATCCCAATCACCTCTGTACGGTGAGTGGCCCTGGGATGGGACACTGGGTACCTGATTCATGTCAGTCACTTCAGTGAATCACTTTAGAGAGGAGGGGACTGAAGCAGGGGGAAGGGTGCACTGCTTGAAACTTAGGTCCTCTCTCCTGCCCACAATGCCAGCATCTCCTTACATGCAGTCAGCATCAGTGCAGTGGTCAGGGTGCAGGGTAAATTAGGAGTGTGAGATTAACGTATGCACAGTACTATATATAAAATAGATAACCAACAAGGACCTACTATATAGCACAGGAGGGAACTATACTCAATATTCTGTAATAACATATAAGAGAAAAGAATCTAAAGAAGAAGAGAGATATATATATATACATATATATACATACATATAGTTTTCCCTGGTGGCTGAGTGGTAAAGAATCTGTCTGTCAGTGTAGGAGACATGAGTTTGATCCCTGGGTGGGGAAGATACCTGGAGAGGAAATGGCAACCCACTCCAGTATTCTTGCCTAGGAAATCCCATGGACAGAGAAACCTGGCAGGCTACAGTCTATGGGGCTACAAAGAGTTGGACATGACTTAGCAACTAAAGAGCAAAAAAAAAAAAAAAATATATATATATATATATATATATATATAAACTGAATTATATATATATTTATATATATATATACACTGAATTATATATATATTTATATATATATACACACACATATAACTGAATTGCTTTGCTATATACCTGAAACTAGCACAACAACTATACTTGAAAAAAGAAAACCCAACCTCAGTGTAGTGGCATGTAATACGTTACAGGCGAGTGCTAAACTTTCACATCTGTTAGGTCATTCAGTCCCCGTGGCAGCCCTGTCAGGTTGGTCCTCTTGTCAGTCTGTTTTATAGATGGGGAAACTGAGGCACAGACCTAGTAAGCCACTTTCCCTAGGTCACACGGCAGTAGTGATACTCGTTCCTCAAGCATAACTAGGGAGGACCTAGCGTGTAGGTCATGGACCTGTGGGGCCCGAGCCTGTCGCATCCTGATAACGAGCGGAGGCGGCCATTGGTGCCATTTCTCCACCCAGGGAAGAGAAAACGAGGAAACTGTCTCTTGCTTGAGGCCACCCACCTAAGCAGGCCTGAGAGCTCAATTTCCATTCCATTCATTGCAGCAGAAACAGTATTTAAGGAGTCTGGTCTGTATGCCACCCCATGTTCCAGGAGCTGGGGCTACAGCAGAGGCAGCCCATCTCACAGGGAAAAAGACCATCAGCAGACCAGTAAATAGATAACATCACATGTAAGAGAGGGGCGTGATTCTGAAGAGTGAGGAAGCCGACTCAGATGAAGGCGTCTGAAGGGGAGATCTTGAAGACAGGCTGCTCTGGGAACGGGGAGAAGGCGGTACAGGCAGCGGGAACCCCAGTACCAGGGCCCATGAAGAGACCACGCCAGGTGTGCTGGAGACCCAGCAGGGAGACCAGTGCGGCCGGGTGGAGAGAGTAAGTGGGGCATGAGGCCGGGGCGCGGGCGGGATCCAGAGCATGCAGGCCCTTGCGGGCTGTCGTGAGGACTTTGAGCAGGACGGCAGCCAGGGGAGGGCTCTGAGCTGAAGAGGGATGTGATCTGACCTAGGTGTTAATGGGGTCTCTCGGGCTGTGTGTGAGGACAGACTGGCAGCGGGTGAAGGTGGAATCAGGAGTCCAGTGAGGAGCTGACTTCAGTAGTCCAGGCGGGAAATGACAGTAGCTAGACTGAGATGATGGACAGAGTGAAAACTATTAGGTTGTGAATCAGTCAGTTCAGTTCAGTCGCTCAGTCGTGTCTGACTCTTTGCGGACCCCATGCACTGTAGCACGCCAGGCCTCCCTGTCCATCACCAACTCCCAGAGCTTACTCAAACTCATGTCCGTTGAGTCGGTGATGCCATCCAACCATCTCATCCCCTGTCGTCCCTTTCTCCTCCTGCCTTCAGCCTTTCCCAGCATCAGGGTTTTTTCCAATGAGTCAGTTCTTCGCATCAGGTGGCCAAAGTACTGGAGTTTCAGCTTCAGCATCAGTCTTTCCAATGAATATTCAGGGCTTATTTCCTTTAGGATGGACTGGTTGGATCTCCTTGCTGTCCAAAGGACTCTCAAGAATATATATATATATTTTTTTTTAAATTAAAAATATATATTTTTCTCCCTGAGCATTTCTTGTTGTTGTGTTTTTTTTGCCGCCTCTAACCAGGGATAACCTGCTTAGAGTTCCCTGAGCCGGGATAACCCAGGCCGCTTCCTTGGTGGCTCAGATGGTAAGGACTCTGCCTGCCAACACAGGAGACCTAAGAGATGTGGGTTCAAGCCCTGGGTCAGGAAGATCCCCTGGAGAAGGAAATGGCAACCCACTCCAGTATTCCTGCCTGGGAAATCCCATGGACAGAGGAGCCTGGCGGGCTACAGTTCACGGAGCTGTGAAGAGTCAGACGCAACTGAGCAACTAACACACACACTCTTAGGAAAGCACCACATCCTAACCACTGGTTAACCCTCACCAGGGGACTGCCTGCGGCCCCGCCCCAACATTTGCCTTTTATGATCTGGATGTTTTTGAAGAAGCAGGCTAATTTTTTTTGTTTTTTTTTGTAGAATGTCCTGCAGTTTGAGTTGCCTCAGTAGATTGAGGTCATCCATTTTGGGCAGCGCCACCATGGAAGGGGTGCCCTGTCCTGAGTGTGTTATATCCGGATGCCCTTGGGGTCTGTTTGCCCCATTACTGTACATGTTGATTTTAATGCCAACAGAGAGTAGTGTCTCCCATGCTTCTCCACTGCAAAGTTACTCTGAAGTCTTTACAAGGAATATCTTGTGAGGAGGTACTTTTAAGACTTTGCAGATATCCTGGGCCTTCTCAAATGTATGGTAAGGACTTTCCCCTCTCCTCCCTTTATTTACTTCTTCATTTATTTATTTAAAATAAGTATGTCTCATAAAATTTCACCCTTAAAAAAAAAAATCACCCTTTTGAGCTGACTCCTGTGTGAATGGGAATTTATTTGGAAATGTGCTGTGCTTAGTCCTTCAGTCATGTCCAACTCTTTGTGACCTCATGGACTGTAGCCCCCTAGGCTCCTCTGTCCATGGGGATTCTCCAGGCAAGAATACTGGAGTGGGTTGCCACACCCTCCTCCACAAATAATGGATTGGATGGGCTGTTTGTGAGAGAGGTCAGGGCTTGTTCTTTTAGCAAGGATTTATTGCTAGGGGCTGGGGATAAAAGCAGTACAGGTGATTTCTCGGTGGTTCAGTGGCTAGGACTCCACACTTCTACTGCAGTGGGCCACGGTTTCGATCCCTGGTCCGGGAACCAAGATCCTGCAGGCTGGGTGGCGCAGCCAAAAACTTAAAAAATAAAATTTAAAAAGCAGTGCAAAGGCCCTGCTTTCATGGACCTTGTAAACGGGGGTGCTAGGTCCTGGGAAGGGGGGTGACTGGCCAATGGATGGCACAGATTTTAGAAGGGGGACTTAGGAGTTGGGTTTTGGACAGGTTAAGTGGAGATGGGGTAGATAGACCTCTGCCCCCAGCCCCCTCCTCCTGTAGCTCCACACTCCCCTAATGACTCCCTGGTCTGCTTCTTCACCCAACAGCCAGGATAATGCAGACTCCGCTGGCCACTCCTGTGCCTGTGCTCCGGCTCCCCCGGGGTCCTGACAGCTTGAACCGAGGCTTTGCCCCCGATGGACACAGAGCCCCCCTGAAACCCGAAGTCCCTGAAGTCCTGGAGCCTCCAGAGTCTCGGGAATCCCAGGAACAGCAGGCTCGAGCCTCCCTGCGGGAGCGCTACCTCCGCAGCCTGCTGGCCATGGTGGGGCGCCAGGTGTGCTTCACTCTGCACGAGGGCGTGCAGGTGATCGCCCACTTCGGAGCCACTGACCTGGATGTGGCCAACTTCTACGTGTCGCAGCTGCAGACTCCAATAGGCGTGCAGGCTGAAGCACTGCTCCGGTGTAATGACATTATCTCATACACCTTCAGGCCATAAAGACTTTATCGTGTTCATCTTTCTGTCTTGGGCGTAGCTACAGTCTCCCAGGCTAATATGCTCTGAGCTTGGACCTCTGGGCCCCAGAGAGTTCCGAACCCCCTTGGAAATTCACACCAAGCTCCAAGCAACTCTGACATCTCTGGACATCTAGGGTGTAGTCAGTAAACTTCTGCAACTCCATGGGTTCTACATCCTGTTGAAAGGAATGCTCTACCTCACAGAACTCTCAACTCTACAGATATATGGGTTCCATGCCAGTTCCTGAAGATTTGGGACAGAGGGAGGGAATAAAGGAAGGCAGATTACCTAATGGGAAATTGTCTATTGAAGAGGGTGCAAGGTTCAGCCACCCTGGAAATATTCCCCAATGCTTCTCTCCTGCCAAGGAATCAATTATCTCAGGAAACTTTGCTTCTTGTTTTATTTCTCTTTTTAATGTAGCCTATAGGGATTGAGCCAGGTTTTGGGAGTGAAAGGGTGGCTATGAAAGGCTGAACCCTGTGGAGCTGGATCAGGAAGGGGAAGACATGTCAAGGGAGTGGGAGGAGCTGGGATAAAGATGTGGGGATTGGACCACTGCTAGTCTGGAACAGCTGGTGTGACCTGGATGCCAGACTTGGGAGACTTGGACTTTTCTGGTGGGCTGGCTTGTATACAGTGAGGGGAGTGAGTTGAATTGGGTCACATGGTCACATGCAAGAGGTCCCTCCCATGGCCTGGCCTCTGGGTGGATAACCTTTAGGTGGGTGGAAACCCTGCATGGCAGCACCGTTGGGAAAAAGGGGATTAAGGATTAGAGTGAAACTTTGCCCCTTCTCCATTTAGCCCCGGCTTTGTAGCCTGGTTGTCTATTTCACACACTTTACTTAGCCCCATTACTAGCAGTCTTTCAACAGATTTACTGTTATTTATTTATTTGGCCATGACGCTGGGATCTTACTTCTCATACCAGGGGTTGAACCCATGCCCCATGTAGGGGAAGCACAGAGTCCTAACCACTGGACCTCCAGGGAATTCCCTCAGCAGATTGTTTTTAAAAGTAATTTCTGCCCCATCTGTAAGTCCCATCAGTTTAAGAATGTAAGTGAAGATTCCATTAAATATAGATGTGATTTCCTTTGGTCATCTTCAGTGGTCAAAGTGCGGCAGCCACTGAAGTTGAATGAAGCTTGTGCAGGGCCTCGGCTCCCATTTGTTCATTCACAACGCTACCTCTGGCGACTCCTGGGCCCAGATTTCGAGTTGCCTTAGCAACGACGTCACTTGCTCCTCCCCAAGTCACCTTTTTGGGTTTTAGCTCCGCCCACTCAGGGTTGTGGTTGGGTTGGGATAGAACGGAGAAAGTGCGGAGGCGAATAGTAAACGACTGAGTCAGCCCTTGTAGGGGCGTGGCTTGAGTTCGTGCTAGTTCGCTACTGGCTCCGTGATCTACCTGCTCCATCGCCGGGTATTTCGGTTGGAAGATTCGTTCCTTGCTTTCGGAATTTCTCCCTTCGTCCAGTTTTTTCTTTTCTTAAAAACAAAAACAAAAAGAAGCTAAATTAAGAATAGAATACTCCTTATGGGCTCATATTTTCGTTTTTAAGTTTAAATTATATAAAATACAATTTATACAAAAGAGCCCGACACGACTTCCTGTCTGTATAACCACAACATCCAAAGAGGGCCATTGATGAAATTGCAGTCTGCAAATGGAAAGCTGGAGCCTAACCAGCAAGTGGAGAGGTTCTCCAGGCAGAGGTTCCGTCTGTCAGCATCCATCACCTGTACTCATATAGTCAACACAACTCCTATAGCCTTTCAAGTTCTCCATCCCTTTACTTCTCTCCTATCAGTTGGCCTAGCCTCACCAAGCATATGTTTTTATTCCTATCATATCCACTCCTTTCTCCATTGCCTGAGCTCGTGACGAATGTGTGAGGGCCTGAATGTTAGTTATCTACTTTGAAGCGGGGAGGCGGGGGGCGGGGTGGCGGGGGCGGCTTAGGTTCGCGCTTGCGCGCTGCTCCGGGAGACGGCGTCCATCTCGCCCCGCCCCTCGTATTCTGCAGTTCCGGCTTTGCAGATTCACTACTCACGTTTCTTTTTCCCGTGGCTCTTTCTGCCTTTTGGTACACGCTTTAACAACGCACGAGACAACTCTACCTGAAAATAACTTAAATTTATTTTCTTCTTTTCCGTGTACGCAGCGGGCTCACTGGCCCTTAACGAAAGTGCGGCTGCGAACGAGCAGACGCGCACGGGGCCCGGGGGAGGCGCGCTCGAGCTCCCGGCGGCGACGACTACGACGACCAGGAGAGGGGACGGAGTCGGCGCTTGAAGCAGTGGCTGAGCCCATGCCCCGGGACGGCGGGAGGGCCCGGAGAGACAAGTCCGGGGCCCGGGGCATGTCCCCAGGGCCCCCGTGAGGAGGCGGCGGCGGCGGCGATGGAGATCCCGCCGCAGGAGGCGCCGCCCCGGCCGGGCGCTGACGGCGAAGCCGAGGAGGCCCCCGCCGAGGCCCCGTCTCCCGGCCCCGCATCGCCCCCGGCCGACGGGCGCCTCAAGGCTGCGGCCAAGCGCGTTACGTTCCCTTCCGACGAAGATATCGTGTCCGGAGCCGTGGAACCCAAAGACCCCTGGAGACACGGTAGCCACAGCTGGAGCGCGGGGGCGGGCTGGTGGGGGACCTGGGAGTCGGTGCGGCGACCAGTACAGAGGTGGAGCTCAATAAGTTGCCCCTAATAACGATTTAAGGAGACAGTCGTCAGTTTAGAGCTTGGAGGGTGTTAGAGAGGGAGTGGCTGTTGGATTGGGAAGGTGGACATTAGCTGGTTTTTGCTACTCCCTCTCTCCCCTCCCCAAAGGACGCTGATGGTGATCGTTTGAGGAATTCTGACGGTGAGCAATCAAAGAAAGTTTAGTGGCTTGGGAGATTGATTTAGGAGAGCGGTAGCCTTTGAGTTCATAGTTCCCTCAGAGAAGGATAGAATAGTCAGGGGAGAAAGAGTGGGTCAACATTATCGCCGAAAGGGCAGTTGGAGGAGTTTGATGGGCCCATGGGGACAGAAAGAGGTTACAGTTGTCGGTCTGCAAGCCTCGGGGCAAGGGGTGGTCATGTGACTCAACTTTCTTGGCTGAAAGGAGGAAGAGGAGTAAACTTGGAGTCAGCGGTAGAGGAGTCAGTCAGTCCCGGGATTGGGAAAGGGAGGCAAGGTAAATAAACTTGCCAGAAAAAGGAGCGGAGTTGGTGGTCAGTTTGGGGCTGGTTGAGATAGTGCAGGGAGGTGTTCGATCTTGGCATTAGGAAGAAAAATCACCACGTGCCTCTTCTTCCTCTCCTCCCCTGCCCCCCCCCCCCAAAAAAAGGGGGAAGCAAAACATCAGTCTTTCAGGAGCAGAGGAACTTTGGAGCCTGGCTTTGGGAGGGTTGTCCTTGTTTTGTTTCCCCTACCCCCGTCCCGCCTGCCCGGAGAAAGCATTGGAGTTGCTGTCAGTGGAAGGTGAGAGCGCTAGAGAAGTTTGATGGCTCGAGGTGTGGGGGAGAGTGACTGCATAGGTTATAAGTCCTCTGGAGAAGGTAGGCTCTGTGTTGGAACTGAAAGAGCAGTTGGAGGAGTGTGTTTTATCTGTAGGGCTGGGAAGGTGGAAAGTCGCTCCAGAGATGGATGGCAGGGTTGAGTCCCGGACATGTCTGGGACTTGTGCTGGGATGGAGCCAAAGAGGAGAGGGATAGGCCTGGAGCCTGGTCTATAGAAGTTGGTCTGTAGGCCCTGGGGAGAGAGGTAGAAATGTTGCTAGTCTGTGGGCAGTGGAGAAATCGATGGCTTTGATGTGAGGATGGGAAACGTGGGAACTGAAAGCTGAACACATGAGGAGCGGCTGTAAATGCCATCTTGGCCAGTTAGTTTTGTTTGTCTAATGCGGGATCTTTGTTCCCCCACCACGGGTCAAACCCCGGGCCCCGTGCAGTGGAAGCACAGGCGTAACCACTGGACCTCCAGGGAATTCCCCAGCCAGTTATTGTTAAAGAGACAGTGATTAATTTAAAATTCTTGGCCTTGGGAGCCAGCCAAGCCCCTGGGCTCTCAGCCCTCAAGATAGGTTAGGTTGCAGGGCTTGGGGGACTAGGGCTGAGGAAGGGAAGAGGGAACAGGCTCCAGATACAGTATCCGGTCCAGGGAGCTCAGAGCAGGAGGAGGAAAAGAGCTGGAGAGGCAGAGCAGGATAGTGGCTAGCCTGGGCTCCAGCTCAATCCTGAGTCCCATTTACCCAAAGCATGACCTCAGGCTGGGTTCCTAACTCCTCAGAGCCTCGATTTCCCACCTGTAAGTGGGTGAGAATAGCCGTGCCACGGGGTTTCAGAGAGGACTGAATAAGGTTGTGTGTGGAAAGCGGTCGGCCAGGATGAGCCTTCATGAAGCTGCAGTTATGTTGGTCATTTTAGGGGTGACATTAGGTGCAGCTGGTCATGTTAGGGGCCAGCCTGGAGGAGTTGGTTCATGGAGTTGGGGGGGGCCTGCTTCACAAGCTTCCAGTCCGTTGGTGGACTCTGGCCCATGGGGGAGGGAAGATGTTCCGTCTGTGGGCCAGAACGTGGTGGCGGTGGCGGCAGTTGGAGAGTCCGGGCCGGGGGCGGGGTGGGAGTAGGGGAAAGTTTCTGGCCCGCAGGTTCCCAGAAGAGCAGCAGCTGTGTGTTAGCAGCTGTTGGGCTGTGGGGAAGCCATTTTTCCTCTCAAAGCCTCCTGTTTCTTTCTCTGCAAATGGAGGTGCTAATTTCTGCTGTGGGGAAGTTGTGAGGATTAAATAAGATAGTCCTTGTAAGTTCCTGCCACATAAATAGCACCTGCTGTTATCCAGGCAGATTCAGTCTGGTGGGTTTTTTTTTGGTTGGTTGCGTTTTTTTAACGTCTCATGGACAGTCTTGAAGAGGCAGTGAAAGCGGGGGTTGGGGGGGCAGAATGTTGAGCAGGAGGGTCAGTTGGTGCCTGGCTGGGAGGGGTTGAGAGGATGGTGGCTGACTGGTCACCCCAGGGAAGAGGCACAGGTGGTGACAGCTCCCAGGCTGTGGGAGTCTCTCCTTCCTGGAAGTTCCAGGAGAGACAGCAGGACTGGTCTGCAGTCACTCTCCAAAAGCATCAGTGGGTCTGAGATGGAGAGGTGATGACCTGGAGAAATGGGTTGATTTTACGGGAGGGTGGAGAGAGGGGCTGAGGTCGACCTGCGAGGGAAGGAGTTGGGTGGCAGGGGAAGGAGTTCCAGGCAGGGGAGGGCTCACTGGTAAAGTTGGTGAGTTCGGACAATGGGATTTGGCAGGCCTGGTGGTGCTGGCCGGTGACTCGCCCTGTGTCTGTGGAGGACAGTGGAATTGTTGGCTGGCCTGGGACTGAGGGAGACAGAGACTCGCCAGGCTGTGGAGAGTTGGGCCAAGGGGCTGCCTAGTTGAGAGATCGAGGGTCTCAGCTGGGGGCTTCAGGGAGGGGTTGGCAGGTCTTGGAGGAGGGGCAAGAGATTTGCTGGAGGAAAAGCCATGGGAAAGCAGAGAGGGTGTCATTTGAGCTGTGGCCCTGGTGGGAAGGGTGAGGGAGGGGTCACGCTGGGGCCTGCCCTGGTGGCACGACCCCAAGGCCAAGGGTGAGGGAGGAATTGGCGCATCGGAATTGGAAGAGGTCATTCAGAAGCTGTTCTTCCATCGCAGAGATGGAGAAGTCGCCCCGGCCCGAGGTGCCGGAGTGCCCCGGGCTGGGAGCAAGCAGCCACTGGAGGAATTGGGCCCTAGCACTGGGCGCCCAGTCAGCAGAGCCTTACCCTGGGAGGAGAGCTCGGCCAGGCCTGACAGCCTCCGGCTGCGGTGGGCCATGCCTGGGTCTGGGGCTAGGTGGGGGCTCAGCTCGGTGGGAGCCTCTGGGGGTGTCTGCCTGAGACAAGAGCCCTGTCAGGCCCTGTCAGAGGTCACGTGTTGGGGGATTCCTGGAGGCCAGACAGCTGAAGGAGGGAGGTGGTGCGGGAGGGTCTCTTGCCTACTGAGGCTCAACCCTGCCCAGCGCTCAGAGGGCCTTTCCTGGCTCCCATGTCACATGATGTCCCCGCCTGCCCCCAACTTGGGGGCCTGCTTGTCTGCCTCATTGCACTAAAGGCCGCAGCTGTTAAGATCGACATTTGTTTCGCGCTGGTGGTCTCTCTCCCCTGCTGGAATGGGAGAGCTGACAGTGTTTATCCTCATTCCCGCTCAGCCCCTTGAAAGACACATGGTGATCATGGCCGAATGAGCGCCAGGGGCACGTGCAGCCTCAGAGGGGCTGAGGCCAGGCCACACCTGGCGTCTGTCCCACCGGGGTGTGCTCCCTGCCTGGCCCCGGCCGCAGCGTGCTGTGGCTCCGGCACAGCCCCTGTTCTCGCTGAGCTGGTTTGTTTCCTCATCTGTGAAATTGTGAGCCCTGTCCTGCTGATCTGACCTCCAGGATGTCTCAGTGGACGGGATGGACCTGGTGGGGCAGGGTCTCTGCAGCAAGCCAGTTGCCAGTGGACGCGCTGTGAAGCTGAAGAGGAGGCCGCCTCCGTACTGCCGGGCTGGGGCCCGTGTGCGCCCCACACTCCCTGGGGGGTGGAAGTGGGTGTCCATGGAGGAGGGGCCAGCCTGCCGCAAGCCCCATCCATAGTGGGAGGTCCCAGCTCCTCTGAGGGTCTTGTACCAGGGACTCTTCAGACCAAACTGCAGGAGTGACCTGAGGCCCAGCTAACCGCCATGTGGGGAGGAGACCGGGTTTGGCGAGGCAGGCGTCGGGAGCACGTGACACTGGCCACAGTCTGGGCGGCTGTCTCCCCCCTCCCTGCAGTCCTGCCCATGACTCATTCCCCGCTCCCTGACCTCCACCCTATGCAGTCTGTCCTGGAATAGGGGGAGGGGAGCTTTGCCGCACGGGAAACTCCTCATGTGGAATGGAGGCATCTCCAGGGTGAAGGGGGCCCAAACGTGCCCAGCTCTGGCCACCTGAGCTTCGGGGGTGGGATGGGGGAGAGGGGCTGGTGGGGACAGTGGCCATCGTGTTCCTCAATGAGGATCAGAGTGGGTGGAAACACCTTCCTATTTGTTCTCAATGAAACCTGTGCTGCAAATTGAGTCCTTGAAACTTCTTTGACAGGTGGAAGGGTACCTGTCAGTAGTGGACAGAGACTCTCTTGCTGGTTAATGGCTCATTTTACCTGAGTGGTGGGCGGTCTGGCTGGGGAGGAGCCAGTGCCCTTGTGGGGGGTGGCTATCTGATGCTTCCCCAGATTTCCGTCAGGACCCACCCTCACCTCCTACTGCCAGCGTTGGCACATAGACTCTGCCATGTGACTTTGGGCGATCGTTCTCTCTGTCCGTGATGATATTTCTGTCTATGAAATACAGCTGACAGTCGTCCCTCCTCAAAGGCTGATGAGGAAAGTGAGATAACAGTGTCCACAGGGAGCGCTGGGGGACCTTGTTCTTGTCGTCGCCAGTCTTCTGCCCCCACCTGCAGCCCCTGCCCTCCGTGCTGCGCTGTCTCTGTTGTGTGTTTGCACTCGCCTCTCCTCCAGTGTGTCCCTCGTCAGAACCCTGCGGTCTATCAGAAGAGTGCCCTGACATCGCTGACAGGGACGATCCTGTCTGTGACGAGCTGGATG